CATAGTAGTAAGTACGATAAAATTTTGTCCTGCCTGATATTCATTGCAATGTCAAAAAGGTCTTGGCTCTTTCTAGTTCTATCCTCATACCCTAAATGGGTTTGGGCGGGGCGAGGAGCAGTCAAGTACCCTTGAATAATTTGAAAAACTGGGCCTAGTTAGCCCCCAGTGGAACCTTCAGGCCAAAGGGACGATTGTGTGTTGGAAATGGGGAAAGGAAGGATTCTGCCAACTCTCTAGACCTATATAGAAAGTATTGATGCAATTGAGAGGCATGCCACCCAGTTAATGGAGAATAAAGGATGTGATACTGTGAATTCTTTATAGCTCACTCTGAAACAGGAATGGAGATTTAAGTGGACCTCTTGGATGCCATATATACTACTTTGACTACCACTGGGAATTGGAATTCTTAGGCATGATATTGACAAGTAGGAATTGATGTGTAACAGAGGATTGATAGCATTCGTGGAGAACCTCTGATGCCACTCCCCAAATGGAGGACTCTGGAGAGCCTATTTCTGGGAGAGTTGTTAGGAGATGTAATGGAAATGCCTTGGAGAAACTTTGGAGCATGTGCAAACATTGTCTATCTGGTTCTGGTCTGTTAACCCTGCAGTGAATGACCTGTGGTGAATGAATCTGAACCCATCTCTTGATTGGCTGCAGAGATGAAATTGGAAGTACCTTTGGAAGGCACTAGATGACCAGAGCCTTGGCTCTTCTCTGAAGCTACTTTCTCCATAAATCTTTGCTAGCATTTGACTCCTTTATTCATAGCATCCGTGAGAGACAGTGCTGTAAAGATGAGTGGGCTTGGACTCTCTCCTTCTGAGGCCAACATGTGGGTCCTGTGAAAATGGTCGTTGGTTCTTTGCTTCGTTGTTTGTTCTTCTGTTTTGGGTGTAAAATATTAATCTAGAAGCTCTGACTTTGTGAGTTTCAAAAGGTAAGGAGTCAGGAAGTCTATGAATTCAGGATTCTTGGAGTCCAAATCCATGCTGGGTTTTGTAGTCAACCCAGTATCTATGCCCACAAAGAATAACTATGCGAGTAGTGACCTTCAGGACTCAGCCCAACAATTGGAAGGAAAGGACTCATCTGGCAGTAATGTCATATTTGGGTGTCAACTTGGTGGGCCTGATGCTATACAGAAATGGTGATGATACTGAACTAAAATGTTTGTACTTGTGCTCTTATTATATGGTCTAAGTAAATGTTCCTTCGTAAAAGCTAATTGATATTAACTGGTTAAATGGATTCCAGCGTTAATTGCTGTTTGAAAACAGTGAGGGAACATAACCAGTGAGGGCTCAAGCTGATGGCAATATAGAAAGACATCCTCCACCCCTCAAGGTATCCTAGCACCTAAGGGGAAGATAGTGCAGCCTGTCTTTGGGATAGAGAGCCCAGAGCACATTCACTATGCGTAGGGCTTCATGTGGGGTAAAATTGGGTCCTTTGAATTTGTGAGAACTCTTGGAGAGATTCTCCACCCTAAAATTTTGTCATTGGATACTCTAATGTGCAAGATCCTAGAGAAATTGGGCATTTTTGTCTTAGGCTCTAATTATACAATCATTTTCTGGTATGTTTCCTCCTCCTTTAAGCTCCTTAAGGGATGGGGACAGTTTTTGCTTTTAATTTTTTATCCCCAGTGTGGCATCTGGCATAATAAATGTTTGTTAATTGATTGATGGCTTGATTGAGTATTTAGTATGATTCTGACCACTTAGAATGCTTTCAGAAAGCCAGATGCTGACAGATCTGTAATGCAAGAGAGAAATCTAGAGTAGGGTGGGTCTTGTTTGGCACTGCATTAAGAGCAGGTCTTCCTTTTCTCTCTGTCAGTTATCATTATCTTAACCACACAAAGTAACAACCTTATTTCTTCTTGCTTTTCTTCTTCCTCCCAATTTAGCTAACAAAGTCCTTTTAGCTATCCTTAGTATTCTTTACAAGCCTCAGCTCATCCTCAGCTTTAGTAATAATAACACTATGTGTTAATATTGCTATGTGTCAGGCACTGCGCTAAGCACTTTATAATTAGCATTAGCATTCCTAATTATTGTAGAACTTTGCCTACATATCTTATTTCTCTTTTTTATTCTCCATCTCTAGCATCTCTTGTATATTCTTATAGTTTTGGTCACTCTTATAAAGGGATGGAAAAACAGAAGGACTCTTCTCCTAGAGTTTTAGCATTGTTTATATTTTACTGTTCATGAAAGTAGCTGTTCTTTGGTAAAGTTGTAATGGTAGAATTCCGGAAAACCATTCTCTGGGGAGGACCGCTGAGCAATGAGTCCTCAGAAGAAGTAGGGAGAACTGCTAACCTAAGGATGATAAGGTAAGTCATGATCAAGCATGCCATGATCTTAGGACGTGTTGTTCATCTCTGATCTCCAAATGGTCTGGGAGCTGGACACTTGTCCTCCAGACAGGAAATAGGAAGCAAGTGGGAGGTCTAAAAGTGAGCACAGACTTTGAAAAAGTAAGAAAGCCTGGTCTTCCTTGAAATAGGAGGGATCTGACACTTGGACGCCACATGATCACATGGTTAGACTAGACCCACTGCTCATCTAGGACAGTAAGTGAGGAAGAAAGATTTTGCTGTAGAGTTGAACCAGTCTTAATATCTGCCTAGTGAATGTGCTCCAGAAAACTGACCTACGTAAGGAGAAGTCAGTTCTTCTTGGGGTAAGGAACTGCACAAACCTTCAGAAGGAATGTAAAAAGAAACTGGTCAGTACACAGGACAATGTGAACCCATGTCCAGCAGACATTTTCTGAACTCTCTAGAAGACAATACTTGTCTTCTGACTTCCTGCCCAGTCTTTGGTTCCTGACTCCCCATCTGGCTTCAGTATATTATACAAACCTGAGGTACCTGTGTATGCCCTGACTTTGGACCTCATTCCAGATCCCCAGCTGGCTTCTAGGTGCTTCTTGAAATCTGCTTTCTCCAGTCTCTCCTCTCCACTCCATTTCTATGTGTTGTGCTGTATACTAACTCTAGCTTCTGGGTTTGTAACAAATCCTTAGACTAAAAAAAAAATCACATGATGCTCTATAGAGCGTCAGGAAGAGTCTCAAGATTCTGAGAGTAATACCTCTCTTGTGCTCATTAAGGATAAACCTTACTGTGATGGTTCAAGGGCAGGAGACAGACAGAGTGACCTCAGATGCCCTAAGATTCAGCACCAATACAGAACAAAGGTTGATTGCACTTGTCCTCTTGTGTCCACAGATTGCATCTGGGAGCCTCTCTTCTCATGTCATTCTGCCCGGTCTTTCAGACAACCTGGGTCAAATTAAGTGACCCCAGGGATAGTTCAGTGTGGACATGTCCTCATGCTTCTGGGTCAGTGAATCTTCAAGAAGCTGGAGCTATGTTTGCCCCAAGGCCTCTCCTAACATTTCTAATTTCCTAGGAAGGGGGTATGCTAATTCTACCATGTCAATTCATACATTACTGTGAACACATTAAGGGGGTCATGGGGCAGCAGAGGTGATGTGACCTGACTTAAAAAATATCAGTTGCCATAAGAGTCCCTGTTGGATACTTTTTTCAGGAGGTAATGTCCTGAAACATCTTAGGTTGGCCCAATGCCACCTTCTACCATAGTTAGGGGGCCAGGACAGTTGGTCTATTGAGGGCAGGAAAATACAACATGGTGCAAATGGACCTAATGAGGTAACCTGACTCTCTCCCATTTTGAGGCTGCCTAAGCTGCAGACGAATATTGAGAGAGTCTGTACTGTTGTTTGACTGACTTGGTATATTGTACAAGCAGAGCTGTGTGTGTTGACAGGAGAAACAAAGACAGACAAATAGGTGGCACAGTGGATAGAGTGCCAGGTCTGGAATCAGGAAGACCTGAGTTCAAATCTAGCCTTGGACACTTACTAGTTATGTGATGCTGGGCAAGTCACTTAACTTCTGTCTGCCTCAGTTTCTTTAACTGTAAAACAGAGATAATAATAGCACTTAACTCTCAATTTTGTTATGAGGACCAAATGAGACAACATTCACAAAATGCTAATAACAGTGCCTGGCACCCAGTAGGCACTTAAATTCTTGTTCTCCTTCCCCCCTCTTTATAGTAGAAAAATATGGTTTGCGGGGTGTCATGCCCTTGTGTGGCTTTCTCTGGGTATCCTTGTGCTTCCCCTGTATCCTTGGGGAAAGTCTTGTGCACTGGACTTTGCTATAAATCACCTGAGGTGTTAGGCACAGAATACATTAAAGGGATAATGACACAATGTCACTTGATTGGCGACAGCTTGACAGCCCCTTTTAAGCTCTTCCTTAATTCCCTCAGTGGTATAAGACCCTCACAGTCAGTGGTCACAGTCTCCCAACACTTAGTCCTTCCCTACTTTTTATTTATACCTTCTTACCCTGTCTTCCCCCCCCAACACTTTCACCTTGGCCCCTGTGACAAATGAGTTTGTCTTTCTGTTATTTTCAGACCTGTGTTTTCTATTTTTGATTCTATTATTTATGGGAACAATGCCTATATTTGTTGTGTTTCCTTATCTCCCTTGGTTGAGGGGAAAGGGGCAGGGTAGCAATTGGAGAGTCAACGATTAGATGACTCCTAAACCTACTATGTTCCCAGAGGCTAATTGGACAAGTATGAACCTGGGATTATAAATGAATGAATGAGCTAGCCGGGAGGTTGTGAGATTCTTGAGGACAAAGACTTCCATTCTTGTCTTTATGTCACTAATGCCTTTCACACAGTGGGTGCAATAATAACTATTACTTGAACTTTGTTGAATTGCTATCCAGAGCGTTCAGGTGGGCAAATTCCAAAGCTGTTGGCAGCAATCCTGGATGATAGATGTCATTTTCTTCTGGGATCAGAAAGGATCTGGGTTTTCTGGTATGGGGGTCCCAACCTTGAGAAGATTATGAAGGTAAACTAGAACTGAAGACTCATAGCTCAATGTCTAGGCATAAGTGATTTTCTTTTATTTGTGCCTTACTCTGATAGCTTTTTTCTAAAGATAAGTATTTTCTTTTTTTTGTAGACAAACCAAAAACACATGATTTTGTAGCAGAGGGTGGCAGTTGGGTGCCGCTCCAAGCATGTATTTTGTTTTATAGCTATTACTAGACTACAAGTTCCACAAAGGTAGAAATCTTTTTTCATCGAAAGTATCTCCTCCATTGCTCTGTACAAAATACTAGGTAAACGTTTGTTCATTTGAATCTAGCATTTGCTTTGGCCTTCTAGCCCCTCTGGCCTTCACCACAGACAATTCTTTCACACTCAGCTTCCATCTATCAGATGGAAAACTTGCCCTCTTTCTTCCCCACCACTTGCATCCCCTTCCCCGTGGTTGAGGAGAAAGGAAGAAGACAAGGAAACATGGTTTGCGCAAGTGACATATCTCAATATAATTTCTAAAACTCTATGATTTGAACAGCTAAAATACCTCTGGGCTATTTTGTTACAAAATATTTGCCATTCAGATTCTTTAATGGTGTTGTCACCCTGCCTTTCCCCAGAGAGGCTTCTCTCTTATGGGTGAAGGGTGACAAGGACACGTATGTATGTACAGCAGGACACAGAGAGACAAATGGGCAGGTGCCTACACCTAGGCTGCTGGGTTCTGTTGGCTATAGAGAAACATTCAGATGGGCTGTGCAAGAGCAGGGTTAAGAGTCACTGGGTAGGGAGTGTCGAGGACTCTAAAGGTGTGTAAAGTTAGGAGAGGGACAAAGTGATGTCCAGCCCAGACTTTACCTCCCTGGGCCTCTGTTTCCTCATCTGTACAATGAGGGGTTGGTTTCTAGGATCCCTTACAGCTCTAACTCCTATGATCCCTATGATCGTCAGAGTCCTGCTTGGTAATGGGGAAGTGGGGGTGGAGTGGGGAGTGGGAAGGCTAGGCTGGGAATTTCCCTGGTGGAAACTGATTTTCAGTTTTTATTCCAGGATTGGTGTTGGGCTTGATTAATTCACATGTGACTGTGAGCACATTATGTGGGTTATGGGGCAGCAAAGCTGCTTTTCTTCTTTAGAATCAGAGATAGGTAAGGCCTAGTAAGGGAGACAAGGGTGGTACTATCCTTGCTTAGTATCCTATGGGTCAAACAACATTTATTTCTTTTAGATGAAGCAGATCAAGAACACTAGAGCCCGTATATATTGTGTTTGGTCAGGGGTTCTAGGTGCCTGTGGCTGGGGGCAGGGCAGGAGGAGAGGAAGATATCCTTGGAAGGAGATTTTAAGAGCTATTCCTGAATGTGTACTCTAGGAAGTATTCTGCCCTAGCCCTGGCCTAATGCCAAAGGTGGTGCTCTTGTAGATCTACTCCCATGGAGGAGGAACAACCCAAGGGTCTAATGCTGCAGGATGGATCAGTTCTCAGGAAGCTCAGCTATGGCAGTTGGTGACAATGGTGTAGATGCGGTAGGATGTAGGATGGTTTGTCCACAGTTATGGATTGAAGGGAAGGGAGATCATAGAGTTTTGTATAGAGACTATCCACCTTTCAAGAATGTATGTAAGAGGTTACTTTGTATAGGATGTAGACATTACCAACAGCTCACAGTTGGCCTCTGGTCCAGATTTTGCTGATCTTGGGCCTCTTGACTTTCATGACTAATTATACTCTTCCTATATGACCTAGGATTGCCCATATGCATTAAAGTGGGGGTACGCTGACATCCCTTCATATAGAAAAGGTCCCTGGAGACAGTGAGTTAACTGGAGACTACGCCATACAAGCATCAGTTCAAGTATAGGAATGGTTAGCTTGGAAAAACAGATTTGGAGGGACAGGGCAGCTAACTTCAAGTATTTAAGCCTCAGCAGGCAGTAATAGGAGAGGAGTAATGGGTGGAAGTTGCGGTGAAAGTCCAAAACTGGAATGAACAACCTCAGGAGGTGGAGGGTTTTCTCCTCAATGGAGGTCTTCATGTGGCTGCTGAAGGAGCACTTAGCAGTGATATTACAAGGGGGATTCTCTATCAGATAGTCTCTAAGATTCCTTCCAAATTTTAGATTTTGTGATGCCTTCTTTTTCATATAGTGGGAAAAAAAGCAATGTGAGGTAGTGTGGTACATTGGAAAGGGCATGAGATTTGAAGTTGGAAGACCTGGGTTCAAATCCCAAGTCTGCCATTTATTGCTTGCATGACCTTGGACAAATCTCTTAAGCTCTCTGGGGTTTCACTTTTCTCATTGGTAAGATAAGGGCATTGGACCTGTTGACCTCTAAGGTCCCTTCCAGTTTAAAACCTATGAGCACTGTATTTGGGGTAAGAAATCTCAGATCCCAGCTCCTCCATTTGATGTGAGGTAAGTCCCTTCATCTCTCTCCACCTCAATTTCTTTATCTTTGACATGGAGTAGGATCGGGCGGCCTCTGAACTCCTTTCCAACTCTTAATATCTATGTGGCTATGTTTTTTTTTTCTAGAAGGAGGTGTGAGGAAGAGTGGAGAAAGGAAGGATCTTTAGGAATTCAGAAACTGCCAATAGTTTAGACACCCTTGGAGAAGCTTCGGGGTCATGAACCTAGGGAAGGGGAGAGGAGACTACAGATCGGCTGATTGAATCCTTGAATTGTTAGACGAACCAGGTGGAAGGGAGGGAGAATTACCAACTGCATTAATCTCTCAGGCCTGTCCCTTAAGCATGATTCCACATGATTCTTTCCTGTTCTCTGGAATCATTTGTAAATCAGTCCAGCATTCCAGTTGAATCAGAGAATCTGAGTTGGAAGGGACCTCAGAGGCTGTAGATTTAGTTTGAGTCGCATCCAGATAAGAATCCTCTCCTCAGCCTACCTGACCAGTGGTTATTCAGCCTTTTCTTGAAGGAAGAGTTTAGACTTCCTCCCAAGGAAGCCTATTCCCCTTTTGGATAAGTCTATGCTTTCTTCCTGGTGGGTCCAGATTTTTGTATTTGCAACTTCTACCTTCTAACTCCTGGCTCTGTTCTCTGGTGCTAAACAGAGTAAATGTAATTCTTCACTCACATACCCACCCTCATGTTTTACCCATCTCCTTTTTTTCCAGGATAAAAGCACCTAGTTCCTTCCACTAATCCTCATATGGCATGTTCTTGAGACCCTTTGCCATCTTTGCTGCCTTCCTCTGAATGCTCCAGATTACCGATTTCCTTCTTAAATGTGGCACCCATAATTGAACACAATATTTCAGCTATTTTATGACAATAGATACTATCCTCTCTCTAGCCCAGGCTCCAATACTGCTTAACATAGCCTAAAGCCATCTTAGGTTTTTTTTTTCTGGTTGCTATATCACGTTGTTGACTCATATTAACGTTGCAGTTCAGTCACCCCCTAGGTATTGTTTTTAATATAAATGGCTGCCTAGCTAAATCTACAGCTTGTATTTGTGAGATTCATTTTTTTAATCCATGTATAAGACTTTATGAAAATGAAATTAAATTTTATTAGATATGGCCCAATATTTTAGCCTGTCTATATCTCTTTTTCATAACTCCACTCATATGTCCTGGTTCCAATCAATCCCCTACTCATGACTCTTCAGCATTAGCCATTCCCCCAACTCATCTTCCATCCACCCTTCTGGCTCTGCTTCTCATTTATAATTCTTTCACTTTGTCCCATTGTTCCTAATTACCCATCATTCCTTGGGTATACCTGTCCACTCTCCATCCCAATGCAGAGATCTAGATTTCCATCCTTTAAAAGTGATTCCTGCCTTGCTGCTCCATCAGTGGATGGAGTAGTCAATTACCAAACTGAAGAATAATTTTCAGAAGGGTCAAGGTGGGAAGAGGGAAAGAACTTCTGTCTTTAGAGAAGTCCAGGGTCCCATATTGTAATAGGTTGAGATTCATAAGAAATGAAAGACAGGGCCAGATAAAAGAGGATGGGAATTAGGGCAAAGGAGTGAAAGAGACAGAGACTTGGCTGAAAGTTATGACATCCGGGCCAGAAGCAATCAACTAGGCAGGATCAGGGACATTTAGGTTGTTCATGAAAGAACTATGTCATTTGGATGGAGCGATTTGGTTTATAGCCTTCCTACAAACCTCTGTTGCCTTGGTCCTGATCCAGTCCCAGTGCACTGGGCACTGGGGTTTTGGAAGACGATGATGGGAGAGATTGCCTCATATTCCAAGTTTTGCTATCTACCAGTACCCTACCATAGGTAGGGTCATCTTACCCCGTAAGTCATTTTTCTGTTGGGTCTCAAAGATGAGGGTCGGGGTGAGAGTCAGACATCATGATGTAGTGAAAAACACATTGGTTCTAGACTTAAAGGACCTGGATCTATGTCCTAACTGACACTAGCTACGTGACTATGGGCAAGGCAATTAATTAAGCTCTCTGAGCCTCAAGCTCTTCATCTGTAAAATGGGGACAAAGCTTGCATCCCATAATTCACAGGTTTTCAGGAGGAAAAGCTCTTTGCAAACCACAGAGTGCCATAGAGATGTGAGCTCTTACTATTGCTCTACAAAGGACAATTGTTCTCTGAAGACAACACTGCTTGGAACGACTTACTGGTCTAGAGTAATGACCAAAGAAAGCTATAGAGTATCTTCTGAAGGGTCTTATAAATGATAAATTTGCATGTATTAGGTGTAGTTTTGCCTGAAGGCAGGGGGATAGACTAGCTGTGTCTTAGAGATCCTGTCTAGCTCTGTGGTCCTATGAGCTAATTTTGGTTAATCATGTAAAGTGAATAGGGGCTGGCTTCTCTAGGGTCAAGAGGGAGTGATTCAGCCCCTTCTCTATCCCAACAGGACCAGTTATGCTTACTTCCACAAGTGCTCTACCAAGCAAGCCTTTGGTCATGACGCCAACCATGTCAGCTTCTTCTCCTCTGTCTCCACCCTCACCACCAACTAAAGTTAGAAAACAATGGCTCCAGTCTCACCGTCCCTCACCTTTTGCAGAGGGAGAAGGAAAGGTGAGGGTGGGGAATAGAGGAACTCCTGACTCTTCTCCATTTGAATTCCTGGTTGGAAGTAAGCCTTAGCCCAAGTTGGGGGATAGATGTGATTTTGGTGGGAGGAGGAGGAGAAGGCCGGTGCAGGAAGAAGGGACCTCCCATTCATAACTAGAACATGAGGAGGCAGGGAAGAGAGAGACCTGAGGTGGGTTTCCCAGGTATTGGGGCTCAGCAGAGTCAGTAGGTTTGAGGGGAGAAGTGGGATTGGGAGAGGGAGACCGAGGTACCATTGATCATTTTTTTCTTTAAAAAATTACTGTGGTCATTAGTCAGGAACTAAGCATATCTGTGGGGGTGGGGGTGGGGAGCCATCTAGGGGTGATGAGCTCCCAGGAGAGGCATAGGAACACAATGAGGAGTGGGAAATAAATTTGTGCTGTTGGGTATAGCCAGGTTTCGTGGTAGGTGGAGAGAAGGGAAGGGGGAAAGGGCAATGGTTACACCAGGCTTCTGGAACCACTGGAATACCTCCTTTGTTGGAGCAGAGAGCCTGGAGGGCAGTACTGATGCGGATGGTTGTAAGGGGGAGGAGGAGGGGGTAGAGGGGGCTGGTGGATGATCTTGACAGGGGTGGCAGGACCTCGAAGGGGAGTGGAGCTGCAGGAGTCAGAGGAGGAGGCATAACAAGTGAGTGCCTGGCTCAGGAGGGGCTCCATGCGGGCCAGGCAGGGCTTGTCCAGGACAATGACTTTGACAATCTGTTGGCACTGCACCAGGGTCCCTGGGGGGGTGGGTGGCGGTGGTGGTAGCAGGTCCCTTGGGGAATTAGGAGGCAGGCCTGGCGATGATGGTGGTGGCGGTGGCGGCAGCGGCACTCCCTTCTCGGGCCCCAGCCTGGAGTTGTGCTGGTACGTTTGAAGCCTGTTGTGAATTGACACCTAGTTTAGAAACAGCCAGAGAAGCATGACATGTTACATGACCAATTCCCAGCTGCTAGGACTGGCTACCCTAAGCCTCCACCCGTTCTCCCCACCCCCAGCCCCATCCAACCACTCCTATGCCCTCTGCCCCTCAGTCTTCCCACTGGACTTGGAGTCAGAAGATTTCAATTTAAGGACAGGCTTTGCTTCATACTAACTGACTGTGCTTAATCCAGTCTCTTCTCTCAAGGCCAAATAGGGGTTGGACCAGAATTCTAGTGTCTCCTCCAACTTGAAAATTCCTTTTACTGTTCTGAAGGGAGCCTGGCTAGAGATCAAAGCGTCAGAATCCTGTGTCTAATCCTGATTCTAACATTGGAAGTCATTGCGGTATAATGCAAAAAAAAAAAAATCAAACCAAAACAAAAAAACAAAAACCCCAGAAGAAAAAAGAAATAAGCCTGCCCTGGAAATCAGAAGCTTTGGACTCAAGTCTCAGCTCTGTCCCTAAATAGCTGTAGGGCCCTGGGCAAGGCCCTCCCCACTCAGAATCTCAATTTCTTCACCTGTAAAATAAGGGCTGGACTAGAAGCTTTCTGAAGTTGTTTTGAGCTCTAAAGTCCTAACACCTTGCCATGTGGTCTTGGCCAAATGACCAAAGCTCTTAAAATCATTTTCTCTCTCTGTCTTTGCCTCTTCCCTTAAGGGAATAGTTATTCCAGCCCCCCTTCCAGTCTCATAAAGGTGTTATGACGAAAAAGGAGGTCAGACGTATTGACAGAGTTCGAGCCTGTCAAAGTTCCCCTGTGTTTGGGCCAAGAAGGACCTACAAATCTCTGGCACCCTAGATTTGATTTATTTATTTAGCACCCTCCCCCCACCACACTCTATTCTCACACTCATCAGGTCCAAGAAACATTAACTCCCTAACAAGCAGGGTCTGATTTTTGATTTTTGAAAATTCAAATAGAGAACTCTTTCATTTGAGGCTCAACTGAATGTCTTTCTGAGGCCCTGGACTGATTTGTTTAGTTAGATGATGGGTTACCGGAAAAAGAAAAAAAAAGCTGAGTCTCCCAGAAGTAGTGAAAAGAGTACTAGATGAAGTGTTAGGAGACCTGGGTTTAACTCCCAGCTTTGTTGCTTACCTTGGGCAAGTCATTTAATAACTGGATTTAATTTAGTATTTTAAAGTTTGCAAAAATGCTTTACATTCATTTCCTCATAAAAGTCTCAAAACAGCCCTCTGAGATAGGTACTATGAGTATTTTTATCCCATTTTATAGATGAGGAAACTGAGGCTTAGCAAGATTAAGTGACTTACCCATGGTCTTAACCTCAGTTGCCTTATTTGTGATATGAGTGGGTTGTACCATATTGTCTAGGATTCTAAGATTCTAAGCAAATGAATGGACAAGGAAAATCCTCCATTATCCATAGGGGTAGATGGTCCAGTTTGTAGTCTTCCTCCAGATGGACAGTGTGGGTTAAAAGGTGAAGAGAGGTGAAAGGGAAAGAATTTGCCAGTGGGCAGTTTTGAGATTCCCCATAGTCCACAGTGTTCCATTCTGTCTCCTAATAGTTCTACCTGATTAAGGGCCCTTATATCTCCAACAGCTGACACCTTGGTTCAGCCCATCTCTCACGTACATTTTTTGCTAGGACAATATGTTTCCTCTGGGTGCAGCTTTCTCCCAGTCCCTGCCCTCTGGAGATGGCTGTTTTAGGTATGAAAGAGCAGCATATCCTTGCTTTTATGGAGAAGTTAGGATCATGATGTCCCAACTTAGGCTCTGAGCCCTAACTCACAGGTTCCCAGCCTCTGTACCTTTTGGCAACAGATGTCTATCACCTCCCACCAGAGGTCTTTGCCCCTCTCGCCTATCTCCACAGGAATATTCCTTGTCACTTTCTTTTCCACACAGACAACCTCTAACAATTACTGCTAGACAACCCCTCATTCTTGCTTTTTAATAACCCACTTGGGCTCCCGGTCCTTTTCCTCCAGTAGCATCTTCTGGCCCTGAGACATGCCCAAAATGGCAGGGAGATTCCTACAGCTGCCTTACCACTGCACTAGGAAATACCACAAGACCAACCATGTGGTTATGAGGTCAAGCTTTTCCCTGTTGTCCCTTTAAGTCTCTCATCGCTTAGAAAGTTGTTTTGTTTTGTTTTGTTTTGTTTTTAAATCACCACAGCTGCTGGAGGCAGACAACAAACCTTTTGTCCCATCTTCCCCTGTTGGGAACACCTTCCAGGATGAGACAACATCTATGAAGGAAACCGGACAAATTCCTATGGTGCCAGAACATCGGGTAGAGTTTTGGGGAGCTCAAGACCTTGCTACTCCTTCTCCCTAGATCTCTCAGTGGAAGCACACCTGAATGCTCACACTAAGCAAAAGCTTAACAGGACCCTGGTGCAGTCCCTCTTTCTCCATTTCCCTTTCTTTCTTTCTTTCTTTCTTTCTTTCTTTCTTTCTTTCTTTCTTTCTTTCTTTCTTTCTTTCTTTCTTTCTTTCTTTCTTTCTTTCTTTCTTTCTTTCTTTCTTTCTTTCTTTCTTTCTTTCTTTCTTTCCCCACACTCTTAGCTCTCCCTTATCCTTTCCTTCCTTGTGTTTTCCCAATGTCTTGCCTCCCCTAATATCACTCTTTCCTGACTTGTCTTCTCTTTTTTTTTTTTTCTGAACTCTCCTGACCCCTCATTTGCTCCTCTCTCCATCTTTTCCTAGATTTAAGGTGTCCTCCAGTGAGGCTGACAATCTTAGGGAAGCAGCCACCATCCATTCACCAGTACCCTACTCAGTCTCCTCATCCATCTTTGAGAGTTGGTAAGTGAGAGGCAAGATGACTTGTCCATCAAAAGCAAAATTCCCTGAGACCTCATTGACTCAACTACCCCTCCCTCCCAATACTCTCCCCTCCTCACCTCCTTGATGATGAAAGAAAAAAAAAGAAGGAAAGAAAGTCAAGATGAAACATGGGTAGCAGGTAAGAATAGCTCAGAGAAGATGGAAAAGCGCCTGCCAGAGGGATCGGCCAGGTAATGAGAAGGGAGGGCAGAGGACAAGGGAGTTTGGTAGGGGAAACCAACTGACAGGCCATGGGGACAGCGAGGACAAGACTCTGCATAGGAAGAAAGAGGCTAGCAGGGGCCCTGGAGCTGGCTGAGGGAGATGGGCAGCCTTGCAGATAGTCACATAGCCCTTCAGGGAAGCACTAGGAGGGAGGAACTGAGCACCGATTTGATTGTCCTCTCTGGACAGGTCAGACTACGTGAGGTTCAGGGTTGGGACTGACAGAACAGATGGGTGAGCTCGGAACTTCTTGTGTTTATCTGCAAGGCTAGGCAATGGGCAGCTGCAGGAAGATGTGAGGGGTGGATGGAATACCCACCCTTGGGGAGGGGGGACTTGTCAGCAGCGGGGGCTGGAAGCTCCTCTTGGGTAAAGGTGCCTCCTTCAGAAAAAGGTATGTGAGGGGCAGAAAGAGGCATGTGGCAGGCTGGGGTCAGGAACCAGAGAGGTAACTATGCTCTACTGGGATATCCCAGAGATGAGGCAGGTTTAGTCAATATATCCTCACACATATCAGAAAGGGAGAAATATCTAGCTGTTCACGGTCTCTGCGGAGAGGCAAAGCATTTCCCAGTGTGTTTGGAACAGTGGGGGAGGACAGATTGTTTAAAGACAGGAGTCCTTTGACTATTGACTGTGAAATGAATGGAAATCTCTTCTGAGAAAGAGAGATGGAGGGCATGAGAACTCGGTAGCTTTCCATAGTAGGGGTATGGGCCTATGGACCAGCAGAGTCAGAAGATCTCTGCCCAGCAAGTTGGAAAAAAGTCTTGTGATGCCAAACCCCAGGCTGGAATTTCCAGAGCCAATCCTTCAGGGCCCATGCTGCATTGAAAGAGTATTATTGGGACAAGGTGATGGCCAGATGCTATGGCTTCCCTATCCCTCTCTATCCTCCCTACTCCCAAGAAAGTACACCTTTTCCCACTGGCCACCTCACTTACCCCAGGAGAGTACTTTCCTTGGGGAAAGGATGTCCCAGATGGGAAGGACAGCAAAACATCCAGGTGGAAAACTCTCATGTACAGTTTTTCAGATAAAAACAGTGAGAAATTCTGACTTGGCCCCTTGCCTTCTCCTACCTCAGGGTATATAGTCACTAAAGTGGCAAAGTCCAATCCTTAAGAAATTGGCCCACAGGAGGGTAATCTACTTTCCTTCTGGAGGTAATTACTCATGGATGGGCACAGACCCCCTTTTCCTAGGGGTGGGAAGAAGGAAAAGGGATAGCCTAGAAGTGTCTAGAAAGTCAGGCAGTAGGAGAGTCTGAGAGAAGGACCTTTGGGTTTATGGGAAAGTAAACATTCTGGGGTGGGGAGGAGGGCAGCATAGGTAATGAATCTGCCTGCTAGGGAATTAGGCTTGGTAGGAGGCAACCTCATGGGAGAGCCTAGCAGCTCCATTTCCATGGAGTTAATCTGGGAGCTCAACCCCGAGTGTCACATGTCTCGGGGGGAGGAAAAGGACAAAAACAGGTGGAAGATGCTTGTGGCTTAATTTAGTGTGGCAATAGTGGCATTACCCATGCTAGCAGTAACTTTTAATTGTATCTCTCGAAATTGGTAAAATGGTCAGTCGGGCTGGGGAGGCATTGATTAATACCTGAGAAGAGAAACAACAGAGAAGGTGAGAAGAACAGGATGGGGAGGGGGGGAGAGAATTACTCACCTCAGAAACGAGGCATCTACTTACCTCCACAGTGCTGTCCATCGCCTTCTCAGCAACTTCCCTTTTGGTGGCTTTGAAAAGAAAGATCATGCCACTTGAGTTTTTAGCTGGTGTTGTAAGCCTCAGTCCTCCCTCTTCCTTCAAAATACATTTGCAACTTGGCTTGCATAGGCAGCCAGAACCCACAGATTACCATGCCTATAAGGGAGGCTATTCTGAAGACTCATTAGACCATGGTGTGGTGAAATTTATACAAGAGGAGAGCAGGTTCTGGTTTTGATTGGAGGGTACATGGGGGTGGAGCAAGTGACATCAGAGGCCTGTCCTCAGAGGACTGACCTAAATGAGGTGTATCACCGAGGAAGCTGGACACAAGGCAATATACTTCTTTGGCCACTGGAACTCATGAGCAACGTGCTAAGACATAGAAAGGTTGGGATCGGTTTGTGTAGAGAAGGGATTACACACATGGATGAAACCATGGATCTTCTGAAATATTGATGCAAATAAAAGACTGATAATAATAAGGTTAGTGTATGATACACAGTCTATAAAGACAGGTTTTAAGTTCTGTCCTCTGAATACCAGCTTTGGGGCGGTATTTTTGTGTATCTATCTATCTCTGTATGTATGTGTATATGCATATATCTATCCATCTATCTATCTATCTATCTTTATCTATATATTTTATGTATCAGGTTAAAAGCTCACTGAAGAAAGGGGTGACATCTATTCTTTATTCTAGCTCACAAGGGCCTACTAAATTTTTATGACCCTGCTGGGATCATATGCCTTGCTCATTTCTAATCCAACGCTCCAGATAGGGAACCACTGACCACCACTGGGAGAGCAGAAGAAATCCTAGGGGATAAGATTGCTAAGTCTCTCGACCTTTTAACCCTCCAAATGGCCAATTTCCTGTCTTTGACTGTGTCCTTCTTTTCCCCTCCAAAGAAGCATAAGGAACTATTCTGCTATTGGGTGAAGCACAAAGGAAAATTCCATTTCTAGGTAGGAGCTTGGGAGATGAATGAAAAGCCATCCTATGTGTCACAACCACTGGACTCTTTTCTTTACTCCTTTATTGACTAGCAACAAAGCTCCATTCAGGTGAGTCAGCTTTCCCTTCAGTAAAATGAAAATTTTCTTCTCTCCTTCTTGTCAACTTAGAACTCCTCGTTAGAAAAGAGGAGTACACTGGAGAGCAGTTTGGAACTATGCCCAAAGGGTTATAAAACTGTGCATACCCTTTGACCCAATAATACCACTACTGGGTCTGTATCCCAAAGAGATCATAAAAATGGGGAAAGGACTCACATGTACAACAATATTTCTAGCAGCTCTTTTTATAGTGGCAAAGAATTGGATATTGAGAGGCTGCCCAGCAATTGGGGAATGGCTGCACAAGTTGTGGTATATAAATGTAATGGAATTCTATTGAGCTATAACAAATGATGAGCAGGCAAACTTCAGAAAAATCTGGAAAGACTTATATGAACTGATGCTGAGCGAATGAGCAGAACCAGGAGAACATGGTACATGGTAACAGTCAAATTGTCTAATGACTAATTTTGATAGACTTATCTCTTCTTGGCAATGCAAGGATCCAAGACAACTCCAAAACACTCATGACGGAAAATGCTGTCCATATCCAGAAAAAGAACTATGCAGATTGAAGCATATTATTTTTTCTCTTTTTTTTGTTTCTTCTTTCTTGTGTTTTCTCCCATTGGTTCTGATTCTTCTTTACAATACGACTAATGTGAAAATAGGTTTAATATGAATGTATTTGTTGAGCCTATATGTGCCATCTTGGGGTGGGGAGAGGGAAGAGAATGGGGAGAAAATTTGGACCTCAAAATCTTATGGAAGTGAATGTTGAAAACTAAAAATAAATAAATAAATTTATTATTAAAAAGAAGAAGAGGAAAAGAGGGATAAAAGGGCTTGAAATCCTTCAAGTCTTTGGAAAATTGGGGAAAAGGCATAATTGCCTGGAATAATGAAGCTGATAAATCAAAGATGAGGCAAGTGTAGGTAGGGTAGATGGTGTCTATCTCTATGAGGACGCATTTGAGATTTAGTACTGAAATAACTATGCAGACAAGCACTGACTCAAGTACCTAACATATAAGGCAAAGCTACTGAAAACTAGGCTGTGGGCCTAATAAGAAATGGATCTCAGGTCAGAATCAGTTATACCCAATGACATTACCATGAGAGTCCCAATATAATAATAATTTTCAACCTTCAGATAGAAAAATGGTCCATATATTAGCAACAGTTGAGTAAATTGTTATGGTCCTGTGATGACCATCTGCCTGGCTCAGTCTCCTATCCACTACTCCAGACTAGGGCCTACTGACCACCATGGGAGGACAAAGGAAATCCCAGACGACCAGGCAACTGAATCTCCTTTTCAACCCAAGAATGGCCACCTTCTTCTCTCTGACTCTTGTCCTTTTTTCCCTCCATTCCACCCCCCCACCTCCCCTTTCAAGCTATGTGATTCTAGGTAAGTTACTTCAAAGCAATCCAATCCAATAAGTATTTATATTTAATTTCTCTGAGACTTGGCTTCTATATAACGGGGCTAATAAAACTCAAACCACCTACTTCACAAAATTGTTGGAAGCAAAAGCACTTTGTAAACCTTAAATCTCTATAAATGTCAGGTATTATTATAGAAGAATTCTAGATAATTATTCTAGTTGTCTCAAGAGGCTTTAACCCCGTTCCTCTTCCTTATTCTCTTGTTTGAAGAAGGTGAGGAGCAGGAAAAAACTGTGCTGGCTGCTCATGGTGGCTTCTGATGGGCTATACAAGGGTGATGGAGAGAAGGGATCTGGGTCAGGGACATAGGGGCAAAACCAACACAAAACTTGCACTGACCTGAATTAGTGGGACTGAATGATTTGGGGAAACATTTTAAAAATTGCATTAAAGGGTCATCTGGAAAGTGTGGTGCCAAATATGCCAAAGTGTAAAAGAGGAAAGTTAGCCTCTTTATCTTTTTATTCCCTTTTGCCTCTCTACGGAAGAGAAAACCAAGAATATCATGTTATTTAACTTGTGAGAGAATGCACAGCTGGGGTACTTAAAATGAATGGGAGATTAGGACACCTCTCTCTCCTTCTTGCCTCCTTTCCTTAAGCCACCAAACTAGGTGGGGTTTCTAAAAGGTGAGGTTCTCCTGGAGTTTCTGAAAGAGTTTCTTTGGCCTTGGAGTCAGAAGGACTTTAGTTCAAATCCAGCATCAGACACTTAATACTTACTAGCTGTGTGACCTTGGGCAAGTCACTTTACCCCGATTGCCTCACGAAAAAGCAACAACAACAAAAAAAGAGTTTCTTTGTTTTGGCCTGAATAACTTCACCAATCCACTATGGGCACTGCTGTTTTTCAAAAAGCCTGAAAAAGACAGCTTAAGTGACAGAACAGCTGGGCCCTTGCTATCCTCCATTGACTGGTAATGAAATCTCATTCAAATGAGTCAGCATTTGGGGTCTCAGTTTTCCTTCCACTAAAATGGGAATTTAAGGGGCAGCTAGGTGGCACAGTAGATAGAGCACCAGCCTTGGATTCAGGAGGACCTGAGTTCAAATCTGACCTCAGATACATAACACTTACTAGCTGTGTGACTCTGGACAAGTCACTTAACTCCATTGCCTAGCCAAAAATAAAATAAAATAAAATAAAATAAAATAAAATAAAATAAAATAAAATAAAATAAAATAAAATAAAATAAAATAAAATGGGAATTTGTTCCCTCCACTTTCTGTGATCTTGGAGCTCTTTATTAGAAAGGGGCAATGAGAAACCTGGAAACTGCTTCTTTCAAAATAATCCCCCAGGAAACCAAAGCTGTTGTTCTTGATGGGAGCCCTCATACAGTTCAAAGTTCTGGGATTTTCCTGTACCTAGGTGGGAGGGATAAGAGTTCAAAGGATCTGGCCTTGGGTGACCAAGACACTGAACAGCTGCTTACCTGTAGGAGATCCTTGCTTTGACTGTGGGTCAGGCTGAGTTCCACTGGACTTAAATGAAAGAGTCTTGGTTCCCTGCTGTTTCTCCAGCTCCCCTGGGGAATGGGAGAACAGAGTGAAAAGAGAGAAAGCAAGAGATAGAGGTAGGGAAGAGATGGAGAGGGAAAACATATTGGGAATGGGGAGAAGGAAGAGCAGAATGGGCAGTAGCATCCCAAATAGAGCCACGAGAAGCAAAAACTGAGCTCAGGGCTGGAAAGGGGACAGCAGAGGTGATCAGGCTTCCTAGACCTGCTTCTCCAGCCTGAGCTGAACTGAACTGAACACATCCCAACTTGTTAAGAATTCAGTCCCCAGGACTAGCATGGCCAAATCAGGACAAGTACCTCTAATTACCAGGTAATTAAAGGATACTAAGATCAATGATAGTGTTTTTGAATTCTCCCTGACCCCAAACATATGTGTGTATGTATATATAATATATATATTATATATATATACATATATATGAAATGAAGTTTTTTTCCTCCTAAAGAATCAATTTAGTCATTTTTTTCTGTCATGCCTGACTCTTTGTGACTGTAATTTGGTATTTTCTTAGCAAAGATACTGGAGTGGTTTGCTATTTCCTTCTCCAGCTCATTTTACAGATAAAGAAACTGAGGCAAACAGGGTTAAGTGACTTGCCCAGGATCACACAGCTCAGTAAATATCTGAGGCCAGATTTGAACTCAGGGAAATGAGTCTTCCTGACTCCAGGCATGGTGCTGTATCCACTATACCACCTAGCTGCCCCTTTTCAAAGAATCATTTTGTTTGATTTACATTTTTTTCCCAATTATCTCCTTTTTTTATCTCTCCTTGGTTCCTTTTTCCCTTATCTTTTTTCTTTGACTTTTCTTGTCTTTTCTCTTTACCTTCCTCTTCTCTTCCCTGTTACTGCCAAATACTTTTCCTTACTCATTTTCTCTTTGCATTATCTGGATAAGATGATTAGCACCTTATAAACATATTCTAATAATATCTATGCTTCTATATTTTTTAGAGAGATTTTACTGTTGATTAGGGAAGGGAAGGGGAGGGGAGCTAGGGCTCCACCAAAGACCTGCTTTAATGCCTCAACATGGTGTGTGTTTGTGGGGGTGGGGGGGTCACCTGTGTCATCATAATGCAAGCTTTCAGGTACCACACAGCAAGAAAAGCCCAGTGATGGACTGTGTCTGTCATCCAAGGCCCAGCCTGGCTAAATTTCAAGAGGTTCATGACAAGGAGGTTAACCACTGGACAATAAATGGTTTTGGCCTGAGATAGACAGACAGACATACACACACAGATGTGTGTACAAACATACATGTATTTGCAGATACGTATGCAACCACATGCAAGTTTATACACAGATGTACATCTACACAAGGACATGACTCATGAAAACTGTTTATTAAGGTTTTTTAGTAGAGGGATTGTGATCTCTATTAGTCATGGGAGAATCCATACTGATTAAATCATGGACTTTTTGAAGTGCTGAAATAAATATCTCTTTCTCAGTCCTTTCCTAAACAATACTAGTTGCATTTAGCACCACCAGGCCCAGGAAGTTTTGTGCAGGGGACATTTAAATAGTTTCAATTATATTTCCTATGCTTTATTCAGATCAAAACAGAACCTGTGCAGAGGTGGTATTTCTGCCCATCTATTTTTCTCAGGGGAAGAATATCTGAAAAAAATACAGTTTTTTTTTCTGAATAGACCTGTAGAAATGAATCCTAGAAAGGAAATTTTAATGAATAAACTTCAAAAAACAAAAATTAATAAAATTTTATTTTTAATGTGTTTTCTTTTGCTTTTCTCTTAAAATTTTTACTTATTTTCTGCGGAATTTTCTAGAATAAAAAGTTCATCTGTGTATGGTGAATGGCAGATAAACAATGCTGGAGAAGATCAGAACACAGATTCAGAGAAGCAGAGCAATAGATATCGTCCCTAAAGAAGTGACATAATTGGATGAGAGGGAACAAGGCTTTTTTACTCTCCAAAAATTGTGTCTGTATTAACTTAGAAATATTTCCATTCAGTTGGCTATAACACAGACATGAAGTACATTTTTATCTGTAATATTCATGTTTCTTTACTTAATTAAACTATCTTTAGTTATGTTTCTTTTTCCTTAAGAGACATATGTAATGTATTACCATACTTAGACTATAAAATTTAACAAATGGACATTCATGCCTGGCTGACTGGCTGTGTTTATGTTTCTTAAATAAAAAATAATTAGTGAATCACTTTCAACTAGGAACTAAACATAACTTTTACATCGAACTGGAATATAAAAATATCATGCCAGCTGTGCCAGAATCAAACGAATTCTTTATTTGGTTGGGGTTCCTTGCTTAAATCTGGGTTAAAATCCTAGTTCTGTCTCTTATTTGCTGTGCAGTCTTGGGTAATTTATTTAAGCTCTCTGAAGCTCATTTTTCTCAAACTCAGACTACTACTTACCTTAAAGGGTTGTGGTAATATAATGTATGTGAAAGCCCTTAATGACAGACTATGTAAATATTATTATTCATTAAGCATGTATAAACATGTATATGCTTGAGAAAGGAAGAAATAAGCAGGGTAGTGGTTTATTGTCCACAACCTCCTACTTTTTTTTTTTGGCTAGGCAATCGGGGTTAAGTGACTTGCCCAGGGTCACACAGCTAGTAAGTGTCAAGTGTCTGAGGCCAGAGAGCTATCCACTGTGCCACCTAGCTGCCCCCTACCTCCTACTTTCTAGACTGCTTTTGCGGTGGGATGCAAAGAGATGCAAAGAGAAAGGAAAGGCAGGAGGGGTCATGTGGGAGGATGTGGGGGGTGGGATGGGGGTGCAGGCTAAAGTTACTAAAAGAACAAGAGTCCACGCCCTCCTGGAAAAACCTCTCTCCCTCTCTCTCTCTCTCTCTCTCTCTCTCTCTCTCTCTCTCTCTCTCTCTCTCTCTCTCTCTCTCTCTCTCTCTCTCTCCTCTCTCTCTCTCTCCTCCTTCCTTCTATCTCTTTCTCCCCTCCCCTCCCCCCTCCTACAGAAAATCCTCCCTTCCTTCCTCTCCCCCTCCCCCTGTGTAGTCTGGGAATACATTGGCAGCCTTACATTCAATTCGGATCTGCTCCAGCTCTGTGACCTCAGCAATGGATTCTTTCAAGTCTTCCACAAACTTCTGCATCTCCTCTGAGCCCAGGGCACAGAAATGCAACACCTGCTTCTTTTCTGAACCTGACACTGGGGTCACCAGTGTAATGCCATGGGAATGATCTGGAAAATGAATATAGGGACACCCACATGGAGTGAGAAAGGAAAACAGGAAGCCTCGGCTTGGGGCAGACAGTGAGACTGAGCCTTTGCCCTCTGCCCCTCTAAAGCAGTCTCATGAATTACCCTCCCTTCCTTTTCCCTTACACATCCCCTGAGATTATCACCCACTGTCTTCATCTCTGGCTCTTAGACAGACTTACACTCATTCTCAAAAAGGTGGAACTGCATCCCTAGCAGGCCCACGGACTTGCAGAAAGTATACGTGGAGGAGGTCTTCTTCTTTGGGCAAAGCTTGAGGATCTGCCCAAGAAAGAAAGTCAGATACACACACACACACACACACACACACACACACACACACACACACACACACACACAGAGCACATAAATATACATGCAGATATACATACATACATATTTATTTATTGATTGATTGATTTTTATATATATACAATAATGCCGGTATGCACATAACACACACACACACACACACACACATATAAATAAATATGCACATACACACAGAAGCAAGTAAGTGAGTACACACACATACACACAGAGATACCAAAGTTAGCCTCTCCTCAACACCCAAGCCATCTTCCCAGCCCCACTATCTATTATGATATGAGACCTTTAGCACTCCTCTTCCCTCTTCCATGTCTAAATTTCTTTATTGATAATAATGGTTGGGACACTTTCATGAACTGGAAGGGGAACAGAGCTGGCAATTGAGATTGAGAGAAAATTCCTCCTTCAAGTTGGAGAAATGGATCTCATCTGGTCCTTTGAAGGCCTCCTTTCCTCAAGGAAAGCCGGCTATAATATGACCTCTTATCACAGAATTCCTGAGTTCCAGAGGTCGAAGAGACTGTAGGTCATTTATTCTAATAGCTGGCATGGGGTGTTTCAGAAGAACTGTGTATCACTCCAGGTCTTCAGTTGGCAGGTGGATGACCACTTGTTGGGGGTGTTTTAGTGGTGATTCCTGGTTAGGTCCATATAGGAATTCCCATAAGACTTCCCCAAAAAGCAGCCATCCATCCAGAATGTGATAGAGGAACAGCAGTGATGGAGAACTCATCAACTCCTGAGGCAGCTCATACCACTTTTTGAGAATTTTAAATGTTGGAAACTTTTTATATGTACATATACAAACACATTTACATGTATATATACACATATGGAGTAACATGGTATAGTAGATAGAATGTAAAAAGGGTAAGAAAGAAAGGGAAAATGAGAGAATGAAAGGGAGAAGGGAAGAGAGAGTAAGAAGGGAGGGAGAATGAGAGAATAAAGAGAGAGAAGAGAGACAGAAATAGAGAAAGAGAGGGATGAAGGGAAAGGGAGAGGGACAGAAGGAGAGAGAGAGAGAGAGAGAGAGAGAGAGAGAGAGAGAGACAGAGAGACAGAGAGAGAGAGAGAGAGAGAGAGAGAGAGAGAGAGAGAGAGAGAGAGAGAGAGAGAGAGAGAGAGAGAGAGAAATGAAGGGAAAGGGAGAGGGACAGAAGAGGGGAGAGAGAGAGAGAGAGAGAAGAGAGAGAGAGAGGAGAGAGAGAGAGAGAAGAGAGGAGAGAGAGAGAGAGAGAGAGAGAGAGAGAGCCCTGCTGAGTGATGCCCTAGCCCTCCCAGGCCCCCAGGCATTCTCACCACCAGCAGGTCATTGAAGAGGAACACCTCCCGTTGGTGAGCTGCCTGCTTCTGCAGCTTATTCACGTCAGTCACCTCAAAGAGCCGGCTGCAGCAGACCAGGCGGCGGTGTGGGACTGACAGCACCTGAGCAGAGAGGGGATGAAGGGCATCAGACTGAGGATGGCAGGAGGAAAGAGGGGGAAGGAATGTCCCCTGACCACAAACTCAGCCTCACAGAATATTGGAGCTAGAAGAGAACTTTAGATCATTTCTTCCAACTCTCACATTTTAAAGATGGGAAAATTGAGGCCCTGAAAGGTTAAATGATTTGTCCAAAGCCACAAACATAGTAGGGAGCCACGATATGAGGCTTGAGTCTTTTGACTGCAACACAGCATTCTTTCTACTATACCGTGTTCAACCCTCTGGAAGTCAAATGCCTTCACTATGGAGCTTGGGGTGAAGAATTTACTGAGGGAAGACAGCTTGGGTAGAAAGAGGAACTTTAAAATGAGAATAGAGCAGAGGAAGAGGGTATGTGTCCTTTTTCTGATTAACCTATGCACCACAGAACATAGAATCACAGCATAGTAGAGGCGAAAGGACTTATGCAGGTCACCTAGTTCAGTCTCTTCATTTGATAGATCAAGACACAGAGGTGAAGTGACTTGCTCAAGGTCACACGGCTAATTAGTGACTAAGCTGGGATTAAAACTCATGTTGGTGACCTCTCCACTCCACCAAATGGAGGATCACAGGATCGTAGATTTTAGAGCTAGAAAGGACCCAATAGGTCCTCTAGTCTGACTCTCTCCTTTAATACACACTTAACTTCTGACCGCCATGGTTTCAACTGTAAAATTGAGGATAGTAAAAGCGGCCACCTCCCAGGTTTGTTGTGAAGAACAGATGAGATAATATTTGTAAAGCATTTAGCAAAGTGCCTGGCACCTAGTAGGCACTTAACAAATATTTGTTCCTTCCTATAGATGAAGAAACTGAGACCCAAACAAGTTATATGACTTGGCCAAGGTCACACAGGTAGTAAATGGTAGTGCCAGAATTTGAACCCAAGTCCAGCAATGCCAAAGTCAGAACTCTAGTAAAGCATTTGTTCATTTCATCACAAACTTTCCAATCTCAAAGAGACTCAGAGCTGTTAGGATCTACTCCCAAGGGTGAAGGATTTCTTCCCGGTCCTTCCTGTCTCCTCCCTCATCGCCCTCACCCCTGGCACCGCTCAGACCACACCATCTCAGAACAACAACAATTCATTGTGATCCAAGGAAGGACATTCCACAGCCCCCTGACCTCAACCACATGTCCCCTGACATGACTCAGCCCTCTGAAAGCATTTCATCTCAGTTTGTTTCATCTTCAGGGCCCAGCAAAGGGATGGGGGGGGATGGAAGAGGAGGGAGAGGGAAATGAACAAGAGAAGGTAAGAGAAAGCAAAAGGGAGGAGACTAGGAATTGATCACAGGAGAGGAATCAAGAGATGTCAGGGGAGGAAGCAACAACCAAGAGAAAGAATAGTCCCCCTGTGCATAGCAGACACTTTCTATGTAGTTTAGCTGTCTGATGGTTGTGACTTACTGTCTTCATGCCCACAATGGACTTCTCCACCTTGGTAACATAGGTGACATGGTCCTCATTGGATTTCAGTTCCTTCTGTTGGATCCTTTCATAGATGCCCACCACCAGCTCTCGGGGTATGTCAGCTCCATCGTCTACACCTATCCAAACAAGATAGAACAGAGCTGACAAACTAGGCGAAAAGGGCAACCATTGGTAAGGATTATCTTCTCAACCAGGGCAAGGGGTTTTGTCATGGTGGAAAACAGGGAAGGTCTACTTTGGCTACTGTCACTGAATTTCCAGAAAGCATAAAAGACAACAGCATCATTCCTCCTATAAGGCATCTCCCTCCCCCGCTTCCTCCCACAAAACCTTGTCTTACTCTTTCTTTAGCTAAAATATGATGGTTCTAAAGTCAGCCAGACTGATAGGCTTTGTCCTTGTCCTTGATCTGAAAGAAATCAAGCTTTGAGCAAGGAAGAAAGAGGAAAGTGAACACATGCCCCAATTCTAGCATGCTGTCAGTAGGCTTCTTTTGTTCCTCACCACTGGTTCTGTGGTTAGGGCTGGTAGACTTCAAGAAATTATCTGTTAGCTGGCTTAAATGAGACGGGATTTGGGACTTGGTGGCATTCAGAGTCACAGAATATTAGAGGGGGAAGGGAACTTCAGAGATTTCATTTCAATTCCTTTATTTTAAAAGATGAGGAAACTTAAGTCCAGAGAGGTAGAACGATTTGTCCAAAGTGAAAAATATAGTGCAAAGTTAGGGGATTCTCAGTCTACCTTGACAAAGGTCAGCTGGAAGAGTGGGAGACATGTGTCCAATGGCATGTAGTAGAAACCTGAATCTTATGAGGTCAGGAAGATGGTCCTTGGAAATTCTGGTTAAGGATCTGGCAGCACAAAGATTTTCCCAGACTGCTTCATGGAGGTAACCTTAGTACTGTTCAGTGGAAGGGGAAGAGGCAAGGAAATCCAATGCCTGTACCCACTCATGGAAGGTCACACTCAAGGCATACCCCATCCCGTGGCAACCCTTAACCATTCACTTGGAGTTAACAGTTCTGGCACTTATGGAACAGGGTTAAAACAATATCCTCTCCACTATCCTCTTACCTCTCAGGTTCCGGATGAAATCTTCCAGCATCATCTTCCGGTCAGGCTTGATATTGGGACTATACATGTCCGTGTTGAGGAGGATGATGGCAAAGGCCAGGATGAAAATGGTGTCAGGGTTGTGGAACTGCTGCACTACCTCAGGATTGCACATGCAATAGCGCTGGCTTGGAGAAACATATAAAACACGCCCACTGAGACTTCCCATCCTCCTCTTTCTCCTTAAGCAGAGTATAGGGCACATGCGTATAAGAACTTTCCAAAAGTGAGATAGGAGCATGAATGGAATAGGAGCCCCAGGGCTTTAGATGTAGGATAGATTCTCATCTTATCCTCAAACACTTACTCTCTGTAACAGTATATGTGTATGTTTATATACATGCATGTATATAATAAGTAACATATAATACACACATGTACAAACATGTCCATCTATGTATTATGTATATATCTGTTGTGTATTGAGTACTTGCCTGTTTGCGTGCATGTGTGTATGCATATACATGTGTGCACATGCACGTGTATATGAGTCAATGTCTATTTATATGTACATGTGGATAGATTGCTTGGTTAATTCTTCATTGTTAATTATCCTTTCTTATTATGCTTTTGTCTCCCTAACTAGACGATATTCTCCAGGATGGAGGGACCATTCCTTATATTCCTTGACATGCCCCACAGTACTTTCAAGCCTTTATGCCTTTGCTCATACTGCTCTCCAGGTGTGGAATGTCATTCTTGCTCTTCTGCTGAATCCTCATCCATCCTTTCAAGCACAATTTAAATAAGTGGCACCTCCTCCTGGAGAAACATTCCCTAAATTGTTCTAATTGACAGAAATGGTGGATCTATGTTTGTATCTCTCTAATGCACTTATAGTGTGATGTTACATGTCATTAATGTCTGTGCTGGTAACTTATCTCCCTACTTGATTTTTTGCTGTTGTTCAGTTGTTTCAGTCATGTCTGACAGTTCATGGCTCTATTTGGGGTTTTCTTGGCAAAGGTGCTGGAGTGGTTTGACATTTCCTTCTCCAGCTCATTTTGCAGATGAGGAAACTGAGGCAAACATGGTTAAGTGACTTACCTAGGGTCACACAGCTAGTAAATGTCTGAGGCAAGATTTGAACTCAGGTCTTCCTGACTCCAGGTCTGGCACTCTGTCCACTGTGCCATCTAGACTGTAAACCCCATGAGGACAGAAATCTCATCTTATCTAAACGTCATCTCTCCCTCAATCCCCAACACAGTGCTCTGCATGGAGTTAGTATTTTAATAAACATTTGGTGTTTCAGCCTTGCCCCAATAGGCAGTCAGCAAAGACTTGATGATTGGCTGACTGGTTGCCATGGATGAGCCCTGAGGGATGGGAAGTGGAGATGGTCCTGATGATAACCCCCCTCCCCCATTCCCAAGGTGCAAATATTATAGACAATTGACCTTTTTTCACACCTCCCCTATTATACCCGAATGTTGGCTCATCTCCCAGTGTCTGAGGCTCTTCCTCCTCAACCCTCCCCCAAGGTTTTCCTTCCTGAAGACTGTGGGAGTTAGATAAGATTTGAGGTCAGTGCTCAAGGCCGCTCCTACCTGAAAGCTTCGATGAGGCGCTCCACCTTCTGGGCCTCACCTTGGACCCGGATATGGGCCTGGAATTTCCTCAGAGCTTCATCTAATTCCATGTTGGAAAAGTCCATTTCATCCACCACACAGCTTGAGAAAATTGGTAGGGGGCCGAGATAGAATAGGAAAAGGAAAAAGTCAGAACAGGTTCTATCCTGAAAAACTTCTCAACAACCCTGGGAAATGAAGAACCAGAAGAGCATTCCATTCACGTGGAACAGAGATCAACCTTTCCTGTCACTATGTAGAAACCCTAACCCAGTTGATAGGAGTTAGCTTTTATAGCCTATGCATGGTGGCTAGGGGGATGAAAAAGAAGGGAGAGGGTGAATCTAAGGTCTACAATCTAATCTATTTCATCACTCACTGTGACCCCATCATCTTCTCCAGTTGTTATTCCAAAGCCAAACAGAAATTAGTCGATAAGCATGAAGGTACTGTACTAAGCCTCCAAAGGATTAATCAACAAGCAATTATTAAGTGCTATGTTAGATGATGGGCATATCAAGAGTAAACAGTCCTCCTAGAATCACAGAATGCCATAACCAGAAATGTCCTAAGTGGAAACAAGGTTTTCATTTGGAATTAGAGTCATATGACTAGGATTCAAATCTCAGCTCTTCTATTTATTGGTGTGTGGGCATAGCCAAGTTACTCAACTGCTCTCACCTCAAGGTCCCTCACTTATGAAAATAGCACCACTAACACCTGTTACACCCGCTTTACCATGTTGTTGTAAAGATCAAGGATGATAATGTATGTAAAATGCTTTGTTAACCTTATAGTGCTATTTAAATGTTAGCTATTATTATTAAAAGGATTGGACTAGATGTCTAAGGTCGAACTCTAGATTCTATAAGCCTTTACAGATGAGGAAACTGAGGTTCAGAGACTCAGATGGTATTTGCACTGGAGTAAACATCACATTAGTGGCAGAGCCAGGACTGGACCTAGAGAGTCTATCCTGATTGTTATCTTTGGGTGTTCAAAGAGCTGTCACCCGTTGGCATGAAATGAAATGAAACGTGTTTGGTCTGACCCCAGGCAGTAGGACAAGGAACAGTAAGTATAAGTTGCAGAGTGAGGCTTGAGGTCAGCAAAGAAAAACAAAAAACAAAAACCTTTCTGACAATCAGAGCCGTCTCACAGTGGAATAGGCAGCCCAGGCGCTGGTGATTTCTACCACTCTATAGCGATTGCTATTTTCCCACGACTAGAAGTCTTGAAAAGGAGATTGGTTGACCATTTGTCTGGGATGTTAGGCAGGGGATTCCAGTTCATGTGCAAGGTGAAGCAGATGACCTCTGAAATTCTGTTGGAATAGCAGAAAGAGAGCTCATCTTGGAATAAGAAGACCTGAATTCAAATCCTGCTCTACTACTTATTAGCTGCATAACCCCTGGTAAGTCATGTCTCTTTCACTGAGCCCATTTCCTTACCTGTAAAATGGAGATAATAATAGAATGCAATAGTTTTTACCTTATAGAACTGTTGTGAAGATCACACTTGGCAAAACTTAACATGCTATAGAAAGGAATTTTATCGTGGTTAGTCTCTCTATCTGTATCTGCTTATTAGAGACAGCTAGAATCCCTATAAATTCATAGACAGTGAAAGACTCTGACCCAACAGATAAGACAATGTGGTTTAATGTGTTCATTTCACTCTGCTAGTTGAACTGCATGATCTTAATAAAATTTGCTATTTCTGGTTAAAAAAAATATAGAGGCAGCTAGGTGATGCAATAGATAGAGTGCTTGACCTAGGGTCGTGAAGACCCAAGTTCATATCTGACCTTGGACACTTAATAGCTGTGTAATGGTGGGCAAGACATTTAATCTCTCTGCCCCAGTTTCTACATCTCTAAAATGGGGGTAATAATAGCATCTGCTTTCCAGGGTTGTTGTGAGGATCAAACGAATAAATGTTTGTAAAGTACTTTGCAAACCTTAACATGCAGTTATATAAATACTGGTTATTATTATATTATTAATTCTCTACCACGCCCTGCTTGTTTTGACTTGCTCTCTTATTTCTCTCTGATTTATATTTGGGTTTCCCTTTTATGCCCTGCCCCGTTACCCCTTACTCACACACAGAGGGCACATCTGAGAACTATGATCAGATCTTGGCCCACACTTGCTCCTCAGGCTTCTGGGTAATACAGGAAGAATTCTTTCCCCTTACCTACAGGGCTTCTGGGCAGGGACAGCCCTGGGCAGAGTTGTAAAGGTAAGTATATCTTCAGGAATTTTCTTGTATATCCCATTTCCCCTGGCATAATATTCCCTCTTCAGTCCCTTTATGTGCCCTTTTTTCCTCCCCTTTCCACCAATATACACACATATGTACACATACACATACAGTACACATACATGTACATGTGCATACATGCATATATATACATATATATATACATACATATATATACATATATATATACATATATATATATATATACGTGAGAAACGGTAGATTCCTCAGGTCTCTTCCAGTTTTAAATCCTATAATCCTGCGATCTCTAACTCCTCCCCCAACTGCTTTAGGGTTCAAGTTCTTTCAGGGAGGGCTCTTTCCACCAGTCTGGGGATGCCTCTGCCCACAGTCTGTTCATCAAGAAAGAAAAACCTAGGTCCCAAGAAGCAAGATGAGCCATCCACGGAGAATTGTTTGTTTGCCTGCCTGATTTTTCCTTTCCTTCAACCTGAAGCTGATCACAGGAGCCATTAAAGGTAGTTTATGGAGCTGAAGAAGCTCTAAGGGCTGTGTGCTCCTCTCCCCCTCCCTTCCCTTTCCCTCTGTCACCCCAGGCTGCTTTCCCCTCCAATCTTCTTTCCTTTGGTTATTTTTATAATCCCACATGATTGCCAGTGGCTCTGTCAAGCTAGAAGGAGCTCACTGGTTTGACAAGAAGATATGGCTCTGTGCCAGACTCACCTGTCTTCCATTCCCTGGCATTCACAAGATAACCAAATTTAGTGCTGGAAGGGGCCTTGGGACACATCTAGTCCAACCCTTTTATTTTACAGATGTGTAAACTAAGTCTAGAAGGTTAAGAGACTTGCCCAAGGTCATAGGGCAGTAAGTGTCAGAGCTGTGCCTCAACTCCCTATCTTCTGACTCAAAAATCCATTGTGCTTTTCATAAGACTGTTTAACTCTTTTTCCATGTCAAGCATACCCAGATTTTCTCATTTAACCTAGGTCTTTGTACAGGAGAGAAAGAAAGAACATTAGGGGCTTGAACCCCTTGAATCTCTTTCACGTAGCCTGCAATTTTGAAGGATTTATAGATTCAGAATTTTAAGGGACCTTGGAGGTCACCTGGTCCAACTCCCTCATTTTATAAATCAGGAAATGGAGAACTTGTCGAACTTGTGACTGACCGTAGACACACAAATTGTGGCAGAACAGATTTTTTTGGTATGCAGAACTGCCTACCTTCGGCAGGTTCTGAGGTTTAAGGGCCTCTGCCTAAAGCAGAGAGCAGAATGAAGTATGGACATGGAAGGTAGATGCTATTATTATCTCCATTTTACAGTTCAGGAAACTGAGGCAGACAAAAGTTAAGTCACTTGCTTAAAGTCATACAGCTAGTAAGTGCCTGAGGCTGGGATTTGAATTCAGATCTTTGTGATTCCAGGTCTAGCATTCTTTTCACTTTGCCACCTAGCTGCCTCTAGATGAGGAGAGGAGGAAAATCAATTTTCTGTGTCAGGGTCACTAGTAATTGTTTCTCTCTCTCTCTCTCTCTCTCTCCCTCTCTCTCTCTCTCTCTCTCTCTCTCTCTCTCTCTCTCTCTCTCTCTCTCTCTCTTTCATTACGGAGATTAAAAGATTAAAGATATGCAGAGGCTAGGTTACAGCAGGCATCCTAACACATATTTGTGAATCAATTCAATCCAAAGAGAATCTCATGGAGGTGGAAGGGGAGGGGGGGATCTCTGTGAACTGAGAGGAGGTGATTGGTGACCTGGAGCTCCTCTCCTCTCTGAGGTCTACGTAGCCAAGAGTTAAGACTCCGATGGCTCTCTTGGGCAGAGCACCAGTGTCTTGGAATCACCTTGCCTATACAGGGATGTAGCTAAAACAAAGACATTATCTATTCTCCCAAGTTTCCCTCGCAGCGGTGGGGGCAAGAATTTTGTCCAAATATGAAAACTGATGACATGTCTCGGTATTTGACAAGGAAAAATAGACAGAAAAGGATTCTGGTTACAGCCAAGGAAAGAAGTAGAAACAGTTGAGGTTTACTCAGGGTATTGATAGAGATTTAAAGGAAATGGTGGTAGGGAGAGCACTTGATCTACAACTACAACATGGTAGGCAGAAGAACAGAGCTGAAGTACCACAGACTAAAACTCTACAATCCCCCCCTGAGCAAATCAATTGTTTTTTCAGGACAAGATTGCTGAGTGGAAGGGTCCATAAATGAGAGAGGTGAGAGGATAGAGGGGAATGTGTGGTGGCCCCATTATTGTGTCCATAAGTAAACAATAAAGCAACGCTAATTCTATAGTCTTTCAGCAAGAAGAAGGGTGGCAGAAGGCCACCTACTCTCATGGTGAGAGTTATGTCTCCATGGACAATATCTGTCTCAAGAGAAGGGAAATTTGAAAATTTGAACTCCTGTTGGTAGATGGTGCCCAGAAGGCTGGAATGAGAGGGGTACAGGGAGCCAGAGCTAAGAGGACACAACCAATAGAAAGGAGATTGATCATGGGAAAGGAAGGTGGCAGAATTGGACCATATGATCTACGTAATTTTTGCCTTGGAATATATACTGAATCCGTTAAGATAATGTTCAACAGGCATAATTTGGGGTTCAAAAAGTCAGATTATCTGAAAAAGATCTGGAAGCCTTGGGTGGGCTTCATTAACTTTGGTGGCTGCCACATCACCCTGCTGATTCATATTAAGTTTGAAGCTCACGGGTGCCATTTGCCAACAGGAGTTCAAATTTCCCTTCTCTTGAGGCAGGCTATTGTCTATGGAGACATAACTCCTACTAGAAGAAAAGGTGGTTTTCTGTCACCCTTCTTCTTGCTCAAAGACTACAGAATTAGCATTGCTTTACTGTTCACCTACGGAG